CGACCAGGATTAAAATTCACTGTGTTAGAGTAATAAATGCAAATTAAAATGAATGGGGCCACTGAATGATATACTCCTTCTTTAGTTGCTGAGAATTGTGGAGCCAATAGCCAGTGATGTCTTAGAATTTTAGAAAACTCAGTTAACTGCCTTGCCCAAGGACACACAGCTAATAAATGTTTGAGCTGAGATTCAAATCTTTATTTGTCTGACTCCAAAGCCTGGACCGACTTCACTTTACCATGTTGCCTAGGAGGGCAGTGTTTTGGTGCAAAATATACTAAGATATCTTCGAAAGAAGGTTGAGGTGTCCCAAATGAAATTCTAGTAAGCCACAGTGGGAGGAGACATTGTTTCTCTGGAGTGGTTCTGGTATTTATCTCTTTAGTTACCCTTTTTCCCTCTTGAACTTTCTACCAGCTTTGTTTCTCATCTGTAGTTTCGACCACCTCTTCTAATGTAGCAGAGACACTACATGAAAGGGAGCCAACATCAGGTCCTGTCCATGTGGATGCTGGCTGTTCCTGATTGCTCCCCCAACCCCAGCACAACTCCCAAGTGCGGTTCTTTGGGCCTCCTTTCTGGAGGGGGAGGAAGGAGAAGAATACAGCATTGCCATCAAAACCTAGCATTTTGTCTCCCCCTACTTCTGCATATCATATCAGCAGCTCTGTATAATGAAAATCTAAGTTATTTGTGTGCACACATAGCAATTGTATATTTGCTGTTAACTTTGAGGACTCAGTGGAGGTTTGACAAGTTTAGAGAAGAGATCAACCCTGGGAGAGCCTAAACCTCAGAAGTAGATAAAAAAATGAAGCATAAAATGGATTTCTCTACATCTAAGAGAGAGGCTAGTAATGAATATCTTTCAACTCCAGCCCCACTCCAGCTCAGAAAATGCTCTTTAACCAAGGGCACAAGGTGGCTATGACTCTTTGGAAGGGTTCTGCCTGCAGTCTACTAAGAAAGCTTTACTGGGTATGGCTGGAGGTTGATTGTGAGTTCTAGAAATAGCACATCTTTCCCCTCAAGTCACCAAGTAGGATGCCTTCCATCTTTTACAAAATATATTCAGTATTAGTTTTCTTGAAACTTCCATTATTCCCATCACCAGGCTTCCTTGGGACCAAATACAATCTTGAAACTACTTTACAGATAATATAAATATTTCTACAGATCATGAATTCCAGACTCTGAAGAAAGTGTCCCCATCACATATTGAAGGAGCTGGACCTTTCCTTAGTGCAACTTGTTTAACAAATTTATAAAGCTTCTGCTTCCCAGAAGCTTCCTCATTCCCTCATCCTCACAGGGTTTGCCCTCATCCAGCCAAGACTTCATATTGCCATCTACTCTTGCATAAGACAGAACTCATTTTCCAGAGACCAGAACCTTTCCATCTTGGCTCAGGTCACATGCTCCTACAAAGCAGAACCCACTGCCTAGAAGTTGCTAGCAGCTGTTAAGTTAATGAAGGCAGGTACTCCTCTGAGAGCAGAGGTACTGNATTAGAGACAGCATCACTGAAGACATACTCCAGTGACTGAACACTTGCTAGCCCAGGTGTAGAAATTTTAATCCTTTAGACACAAAAGCATGCCAATTGGGTACTTGCTGTCCATTTGACATTCTTTTCTGAAAGGACTATCTTGCAAAATGGGCCCTTATGAAATACTAAATTGAATGTGAGTTAGTCCAGATGAATCACCTCCTACCTCTCACCCCCTCTCCAAGATCTAAGTGGTTCCAAGGCCACAATGGACCTATAGTTAGGCACTCAGCCTGCATGCACAGGCAACGAATATGACAGCCAGCCAGGCATAGGATGAACTGTGGTGTGTCTAAGGTTCTCACTTCACTCATTCAGCCTCCACCTGACCCATGGGCTCTCCTTCCTCTCTGTGCAATGGCAGCCCAAAGAGGCAGACTTAGCTTCTAACAGTTTGCTCCAAGCCATGGGGAAAAGAACCTAGTCTTGTCCGACATCTATGTAAAAACAAGGCCTGGAAGGAAAGAAAGCAGACATAAACAAGGAGAAATTTAAATTCAAATTGAACATGGGGCTAATCCCTCTTTGAATATAAGCCCCTACAGGCCTGGTTTATTCACAGAAAAGAAAAAAAAAAATCTCATTTAAACCCAGTTTCCTTTCATTGGAAAAGAGGAGAAAACATTCCAACTTACTTAAACCTGCAACTAACTCCTACAAGGTGGCAGTTATTTAAAGTGTTATTTCAAATTAGCCCCTTCCTCTTCAGTCTTCCTTCCAGGGTCCAATTATTTCACAGTGTGTTTAGGTATCTGGGCCATGGAGGAAAGCAAAGCATATACTTCCTGGGAAGCAGTGAAAAAGGCAATGGCATTGTCTGGTGGCTAAGAGCACTCACTGAACTGTTATTTTCCATTGGCCCCTCATACCTCCAAGCTTCATTCTCCACCCTTCCCTGCCATGCTCTGTGCCAAAGAAGTCTGACCTCAGTGTGCTATAGCAACAGGCTTCTTTGCTAGCTGGCATATAGCTGGGTCTGGCTAATGATGGGCACTAGCAGGAGATCAAAGAGTGGAAAGAGAGTGAGATATGGGTGTTCATTCCCCTCTCTCTCTCCTTACTGTGCTGCATTTGGGCAGAGACTACATTGTGCTAGCTGAAGCAACAGTTCCTGTGAGGCAGCCCTTCTTATAGATGTGCAGTTCTTGCTGGGTGCCAATAACACTGTTTCTTTATTTTGTCCTTTCGGTCTTAAGAGTAATAACAGCCCCTTACTGTTCATAACCTTTTTATGCTTCACCATCACTGGTAAGTTCCCTTAACCCTGCACACACCATCATAAATTGTCCCTTCCCTAAGATCATTTCAGTTTAACTCCTTGAGTATACCATCTGTTTCTTGGCAGGATTCTGACTAATACACTCACTTTGACAAAGTCGATCCTACAGAATTGCAGAAGGTTGCCTAGCCCAAGAAGAGAGATCGCTTGATCCAACTACCTTTTCTGAAGTGAGTGATCTGCGTTTTCTCAAATATTTGACATATTATCTATACAGCAGGTCCTCCTAAATTAAAGTTACATTATTGTGTCTACACAATAAAACTGAGGTTTAAGCTAGTTTCATTTTTTGTTTTAGCTGTCCTTAGTCATCTTTCTTAAAGAAAGGAGATGCTGCAAAGACATTGCATTGCTTCCTTCCCAGTGAGGTATGTTCAAGTTGGCCTTACCTTGAATACTTAATGCAGTTCCATGAGGGAGATAATACTCGACATAAATTCAATCGCCAGTTCCCTACCACCTCTTTTTCATCTTGCATTTGCCATCTTGATGATAGCAGTCACCCACATACCAGAGTGGTCATCCCAAAATTTTCACTTACCGTAACCTACGCATATCCATTAGGCAATAAATCCTGTGGCATCTACTTCCTAAATATCTTATTTCAAATTCATCCATCTGCTCTGGCCTCACAATCACTCTTCCTGCAAGTCTTGATCATTTTATACCTAGATTATTGATATAGCTCTAGTTCTCCTTTTATTTTCCTTCATTCTCCTCACTTCAGCCAAATTTATCTTTGAAAACTACAAGTTTGTTCATGTCACTTCCCTTTCAATAACCCTTCCTTAGGATAAAATCCAAATGCCTTATTCTGGCAAAAAAAGGTCTCACAGAATCTGGCTACTGCTTCCCTTTTCAACTTCAGCTTTTGCCACCTCTCTTTTTATACCCATCTTTCATTCCCATGCTGTCTCCATGACTTGGCTGCCATCACTGCTTGTCTCATGCACTCTTTACCTTTGCTGGCAAAGCTCCTGCTATTCATCTCTCAGACCCATCTTAGGTATCTTCTTTGCTAGAATGCTTTCCCATGAACCCCTTCACTCCAAGTTGGTTTAATGGCTTCTCTGTGATCCTTTAGCTACTCTTCTTCACTTTTCTAGCACTCAATACACTGACAAGTACTTTTTGACATGTCTCTCAATACCTCATCACTATCCCTTTTAAGGTGAGAAACTGCCTTTGTCCTTTTACTCCCCAGGATAAAATGGCACAGAATGTGTCATACAGTAACATACTGAAGAAATGTTTTCTGAATGAGTGATTCAATGAATGAATCAACTATAAATGGAGGAATCATTTAAATTCACTTACCTATGTAAAGCCAATATAAGAACTCTGACTCCTCCTGGGATGGCATATAACTTATGAAGCCCATTTTTTCTATTTCTATCCTTCTAGGTAGGGCTGTACCAAAACCATGCTGGAATGATTAAGAATAGAAACAGATGAGCTGGCCTTTTGAACCACAGGCCCTCCCCATTCTAAAGCTGTAGTTATGGAACAATAGAGCTGGCCTGAATTAACTGGGGTGGAGGGGAGGAGTGAGACAAATTCTGCCCCCAAGAGACACCAAGTTCTACACTATCCATCAACCTTAAGCACAGATTGGGTGGAGTCCAGGCCTAAAAATACATCAGCCCTAGGTGACATCAGGGCTGTGTTCTTTTGTGGCTAACTCACCCCAGACGGAGGAGAGATCATTTGACGAACAGTCTTTGAAACAGGCAGATGAACTTGTGTCACATTAGGCCTGACTATAGGGGGTAAAAGGCCACCGTGGATTTCCTAGTCAATAAAAATGAACTCTGATGGAAATTTCAATAAGTATCTAGCAGAAACATCCTTGTCACTGACACCATGAATTTAAATCTATTGAGTGCCCCACAAACCCTAGTCTATTCTCACAACATTTTATGAACACCATTTCTGTATCGCTAAAGGATTAGGGAATATTTGCTACTATATATTTTTTGCTCATCACCCAGCCAGAATACAAAGTGAACTCCTATGAATATTCTAAAGCATAATGAGGAAGGGGCTCCAAGCTAAACGCAAGCATTCTTGATTAATGTTTTCCCCACTGGGAGTCACCCTCCCCCAAGCTTCCCCACAACGGGGGGTGGGGGGAGGGAAGAAAAGCAGGAGAAAAAAAGAGTCAAGGTATACTCCTGAGAGTATCACAAGAATTGAGCAGTGGTACTCCAGATATGTTTGGGGGTGGCAATAAATGATGGAATGAGCTGTGTGATTGGAGTGGTAGGAACCAGCTCTACCCATCTCGTGCTCCCTCTCTGCACAACGATTCTTACCCAGCCTTAGCTTTAGATCCTATTTTGCATAAAGGAGTACTTTGAGTCTTTGGGTTGGCAGGTACTCACCAGCTGGGTAAGTGTCTGAGAATGTTTGCTCTAGATGAATTTTATAAACAGCCAGTGACCTACTGGCTTAAAGATATATGAAAATGAATGACAATTACGTTAAAAAGCATGCAAACACTAGGCTATACTTCTGGCAGTCAGATGACAAATGGCCTAATCTTTAATACATGTTTTCAGGTCTCTCTTTCCTGCCCCTTCCCACCCTCTCCAATCTTCTTTCAAAGCTCAAGGTTTGAGGCAGTGGTCAAGCTCCATAGCATAAGAATTGGTATTCCTCATGCTCTCCACCAACATGACAGGCTTGGGGTTTCTTCCAGCAAAGCAAGAGAGCCAGGTACAGATCAACATGGCTGCAGCTGCTCCACCTCCAGCACAGTAATAGGCCCAGCCAAGCCGACAGGTACCTGTGAGAACAGGGACAGATATATGAGGATGGGGTTGTTTTCTCATATTTTTTCTTTGGTAAGGAACTACAGAAATGATTCCAGAAAGTACAGTTTTTATACATTCTGTTTGGGATGCTATAATTAGGGTTAGAATAGGAAATGGTGAATGCCCCTGGGCTTCCTATTTTCTTCTTTCCTTCTGTGCTAACTGCTGAACTTTGCCTTATCAAGAGGTTGTAAGATTTTATTTTTCGTTAGAATAAGAGCCTGGGGGTGGTATGGGTGGCAATGTTAATGACAATGATGACAAGAACAACTTGATAAGATGTCAAGCATTATGCTAAGCTCTTTAAACATATACCTCATTAATCATTACAGTAATTATATGAGATAGGTAGTCTTATTATCCCTGTTTTACAAAGGAAGAGGCAACTGAGGCACACACAGCTACAGAAGATGAGGCAACTGAAAACCACACAGCCGGCAGGTGGTAAAGATATAAATGCTGACTCATGATGACTCCAAAACTCCACACTTTTAACCACAGTGATAGAATACTGTACATGGGCTGGTTGCAATAAGTCACATCATCAGGAGATTAGACAGGTAAAATAAAATCAATTCCCTCTTAGAACATGTCTAGCCTTTCAACAACTACGAAAGAAATATGCATTGGAATCAAAGCCAAGCTTCAAAGCAGGTAGTTTTCCCTTTAAAAGGTAATAGAAAAGGTTACCTGCTAAAAAAAATATCCACCCCGCCAGCTGCTATTCCATCAGAGACAGATTCCTTTGTCTGAAAGATTTGTGACTTTTTAGCATCCTTCAGAAAATGTCAATGCCTAGAGAAACAAGAGCTATTATTTCCCAAGGTATCAAAGTAACTAACTGCTAAAATAAAGTGCTTAAGCAAACAGGACTCCAGAAATTATGGTAGCATCCCAATGATACAAAATTGCAGAGAGGCCCTGAGAAGAGAGGTAGTCAGCAACTTTCACCTACCTCTAAGTCTTGAAGAAAGTTAATCCTGACTACAGTCAGAGGAGGATGTCAAGATTGATCTGTATGATCATTTATTTTTAAAAGGCTAAATTCAAATAACCAATTATTTATTTTCCCATAGTATTCAGTGAGGTTTACTGCTTTTAATTGATTAGTTTGTGTGTCATAGAAAGAGTCTAAGACGGCCACAAGCTAGGCTGCTTTGCTTTCCCATTCAGGCCACTCTAATTTATCACCAAATTTCCCATCTCAGAAATAAAATAGTCTACCACCAAGTCATGTCTCATGCTGCTTCTCCTGCCAGAAACATCTTCTCTCCTCTTATTCACCAATTTATATCTTCCTCAGAACACATCCAGAACTTGGCACCTGCTTTGAGCCCTCCCTTAATTCACTGCAGTGGGCTCAAGTCACCTCAACCAAGTAGCCCTCCAGGAATGTATCTGTATACTCCATACACAAGTATGCCTGATGCCTGCTGGACAAAATATTGAGAAAAAGATTTCAATTTCCCATTTTTTTTATCTGCCCTTTTTTCTCTTCCAGATTGTTGGCTCAATAGTACAGATGCATTTGTTTCTTTTCTAGATTATACTTTCATGTGCTCCATCCACAGTGGGTACCATTTCAGTATGTGTGATTTAGCCTAACAGTACTTCAAAGTGGAGTACATTGGCATTTTCAACCCTTAACACCTAAAACTATGGCTTAAATTTTGAATTAAAGTTGTAAAACCAGCAAATACAGTATTTTATTTCTTTGTGGAATGTGCCCTGATCCCTTAAGGCTTATGCACATTCTGTTTCCTTTGTCTAAAATATTTACTGCATGTACACGTGTACACCTATACTTTCCACTACTCTCTTTACTTAGTCAACGTTTAATAATTCTTTAGAACTCAACTTAATCATTAACTCTTCAGTGAAGTTTTCCCTGACCTTTCTAAGTCAACTTCCAACATCAGAGACTCATAGTGCCGTGTATCCTTCCTCTCTACTTAAATGGATGAATGGATCCCTTATCCCCTATTATGATCATTGTCAAGTGTTACAGTCCTGCAGAGGAAATAGTACTTTACCAAGAGACCTGGGCAGTCACATAAGTTCCAGAACGCCTATGGTCCCACCCAAAATCATGGTAAAAGCCCAATTACAGCAGCTGTGAAAATAGTGCAAACCTCAGAGAGAAGGCAAATTTGAAAGAGAAGCCTGCTTTGAGAAAGGAGCTCAATTATCTCCAAAGTAGTCTAAACATGAACAATGGTGAATTCTGAAGACAGTAAACTGAAGAATACCATATAGAGACAAGCAGCCTATAGAGCTGTATCCGTTCATTGTTGTTCCTCCCCCTAGACACACACACGGAGACACACACACACACACACACACACACGCACACACACCCTTGTTCACATATTCAAAGCAGGCAGTTTTGAACAATGTTTTGAAATTCACAGAGTGAAAACTCTAGAGACTGGAAAACCTTCAACTTCTGCCATCACTGGGAGGAAGGAAGACTGCAGACTTTATTGCACCCACTTCACAAACTATAGTATGAGGCTCTGGTGATAGCCCTGGGAACACTCTCAGAAGCAGAGAGGTAGAGGCAGAAATCCAGGCCAAATCTTTTTACTCCCAATCCAGTGCTCTGCTCTCTGCAGACTTTTTCATTATACCTGAAAGTATTTTCCACTTACAGAGCCCTTCACCTGTAAGCCCTAAGGAGGGGCCTTCTAAATCAAATTGTAATAGACTCACCCGAGCTTCTCTTCTAACTCCTCCAACAAAAATCTGCACTCACCTGGCAGAGCAGAAGAGAGCCAGCTGTGGGTGGGCCCATTGCCAAGCAACTTCATCCTCCCCAGCTTACTCCAAATGTAGTCTAGACAAGGCATCAGAAAATCTCTTTCTATTTCTTCAGTTGCCTGTCAGGTCATCTCCTCATTTGAGTAGCAAGGATGTTTCTGTTAGGTACATGCACCCTAGGATCAGGGAAAGACTCATTTCTCTGAATGAAGAGAATAAATGCATAGCATGCCATTACCCCAAAGCCCTAGGCAAAGCTGACAGATTGGTCAGCTCCAAAGTGAAGAGCTGACTAGAAAGGCTCCAATAGGCCTCACTGAAGTCAGAACCAGGTATCACTGGGCTAGAAGCCAATACTAAAGTGCTCCTATTGCCACCTCAAGTGCCTTGTGAATTCCCTCTCGCAAAGATTCCTGTTAGACCTCTAAAGGCATCTAAGCCCCAGGCTGCTGTCATGAAGGAAACTAAGGAGAAAGAGAGGAAATACATCTTCCATTCATATCCCTCCACAACTCTACCTGTTATCTACCAGAGGAAAGAAAGAGATTATATCATTGGCATTGTAAAATAAAAAGAAAAAGCAGACCTTTTAAGAACTACCTTGCCACTTGGAAAGCCATTGTCAGCACTCAGTAACTCCACAGAAAACTTGCATGCTGGTCTGATGGCCTACTGAGGAAACCTTCTACAGAAGGGTGCAAAAGTAGGGAGTAGGTGCCAATGAGTTGCCATATTTTGCTCTAGTTCTGCCTCTTAGTGAAGTCCCCCTTTATGTAGTGATGATCCCATGGACCATCATCGGTTCCTAAATCCCATTATTTAAACTACTATTGATCATTATTTTCATCTGACAAATATGTATTGAGTACTGACTATATGCTAGGCATTTTTAATACACAGTCTCATTTAATTCTCACAGCAGCCATGATTATTTTCATTTACTACTCAGGGAACTGAATTTCAGAAAGGTAAATGACTTGGCCCACTTATAAGTGTCTGAATTGCAATTTGGCTGCCAGAACTAACTCAAAGTTCATAATCACCCATTTCAACCACACTGAGAGAATAACACTAAGGACACAAATTACTATAGTCCAAGTCTTACGAGAATGTACAATGCCTTCAGCCAATCACTTCACTTTTCTGAACCTCAGTTTCCTTTACTTTTAGTGGAAGGATTTACTGAAGAGAATTCTAAAAGCCCCTTCCAGTTCAAATTTTCTATGGTACTGTGAATATGATAAGTGCTTTAAGAGATATATGTGTAAAATACTATAGGAATATCCAGGGAATGAAGAATTATCCACAGCTGGGAAAATGTGAGCTCAGGTAAGTCTTTGTAGATCCTACATTTCAACTTGGCTGTAGTAGTGGGAAGTGGGCATTCTAGGCAGAGGGAGTGGTTGGCATGAGTAAAGTTATGTGAGTGAGAAAGCACATAACTTTCAGAGTTGTTTCCAAAAAGGACTATAGCTGGCAAAATAATAAACTAAATATACATCAGGAGAGGCCACAAAATCTGTCATCTTTCCAACAAGCAGTGGGAAACAATGGAAAGTTTCTGAGCAGGGAACGATATGCTAGAGCAACGTTTCTCAACCTTGGTGCTACTGACATTTTAGGTTGGACATTTATTAGGTGTGGGAGGCAGGGACATGGGGCGGTTTTCCTGTACCTTATAACACCCTGACTTCTACCTACTACGTGTCTATAGCAACTTATTTTTCCCCCCCACCAAGTTGTGAAAACCAGAAATATCACTAGACATTGCCAAATGTCCCCTGGTGTGAGGGGAGGTTGCTTACCATTGAGAACCACTAAGTTTGAGTTACTGTTTGGAAATGTTAACCTGAAAGGTCTGTGTCAAATAGATTGGAGGCACATGGAGGATATAAGCAGAGCGAGTTAACCAGAGGCCAGGGACACTGCTACACATCTAACAATACATAAACCAGTTCCCTGCAACACAAAAAGTAATATGGCCAAAAAGTGTCGATATTGTCTAGGTTGAGCAATCCTCATGTAGACAAACACCCGATATTTACACTTTAAATTCTCTTCAACTTCTTGACCTGGGAAGCAGACTGGGAATGACGCATGGTCAATTTTGAGCATTCTGGTATGTTACCCCCTGGAAGGCAAGGGAAGCTCAAGGAGAGGGATCTCACAAGGTATTGAGGAGGAGGCACTGATTCCCTGGGAGTAAGAAGAC